AAAGCAGCTCTTAGAAGTTTATAACAATAAATGCATATATTAAGAAAATATAAATAATCCTAAAATTTATAAGGAACCATAAAAGACCTAGAATTGCCAAAGCAACCCTAAGGAAAAAGAACAAAGCGGGAGGCATAATCCTCCCAGACTTCAGACAATATTACCAAGCCACAGTAATCAAAACAGTGTGGAACTGGCACAAAAACAGATATATCAATCAATGCAACAGAAGAGAGGCCAGAAATAAACCCACACAGTTATAGTCAATTAATCTTTGACAAAGGAGGCAAGAATATACCATGGGAAAAAAGACAGTCTCTTCAGCAAGTGGTGCTGGGAAAGTTGGACAGCTTCATGTAATGAATGAAGTTAGAACACAGCCTCAAACCATAAAAAAATTAAACTTGAAATGCCTTAAACACTTAAACATAAGCCTAGAAGAGATAACAGGCAAAACATTCTCTGACATAAAGCGTACCAATGTTTTCTTAGGTCAGTCTCCCAAGACAATAGAAATAGAAACAAAATAAACAAATGAAACCTAATCAAACTTACAAGCTTTTGCACAGCAAAAGAAACCATCAACAAAATGAAAATAAAACGTACAGAATGGGAGAAAATATCTGCAAACCATGTGACCAACAGGGCTTAATTTCCAAAGTATACAAACAGCTCATAAAATGAAATATTGAAAGTTTATAGCAATACAGTCATACAGCAGGGGAAAAAAAATCTCAAGTAAGCAACCTAACCTTACACCTAAAGCAACTAGAGAAAGGAGAAGAAACAAAACCCAAAGTTAGTAGAAAAAAATAAATCATAAAGATCAGAGCAGAAATAAATGAAATCAGAACAAAGAGACAACAGAAAATATCTATGAAACTAAAAGCTGGTTCTTTGAAAAGATAAACATAATTGATAAACCTTTAGACAGACTCATCAAGGAAAAGTAAAAAAAAAAAAGGAGAGGTCTCAAATCAATAAAATTAGAAAAGAAAAAGAAGTTACAACTGACACCACAGAGATACAAAGGATCATAAGAGACTATACAGGCCAATAAAATGGAAAACCTAGAAGAAATGGACAAGACTGTACCAGGAAGAAATAGAAAATATGAACAGACCAATCACAAGTTCTAAAATTGAAACTGTAAGTAAAAAACTCCCAACAAACAGAAGTCCAGGACCAGATGGCTTCACAGGCAAATTCTACCAAACATTTAGAGAAGAGTCAACACATACTCTCTGAAACTCTTCCAGAAAACTGCAGAGGAAGGAAGACTCCCAAACTCATTCTGTGAGGGCACCATCACCCCAATAGCAAAACCAGACAAAGATATCACATAAAAAGAAAGTTACAGGCCAATATCACTAATGAACATAGATGCAAAAATCCCCAATAAAATACTAGTAAATCGAATCCAACAAAACATTCAAAGAATCATATACCATGATCAAGTGGGATATATCCCAGGGATGCAAGAATTTTTCAGTATCCACAAATCAATCTGTGTGATACACCACATTAGCAAATTGAAGAATAAAAACGATATGATCATCTCAGTAGATCCAGAAAAAGCCTTTGACAAAATTCAACACCATTTATGATAAAAACTCTTCAGGATGTGGGCATAGAGGGAAAATACCTGAACATAATAAAGGCAATATATGACAAGCCCACAGCTAACATCATACTCAATGGTGAAAAGCTGAAAGCACTTCCTCTAGGATCAGGAATAAGACAAGGATGTCCACTCTCACCACTATTATTCAACATAGTTTTGGAAGTCCTAACCATAGCAATCAGAGAAGAAAATGAAATAAAAGGAATACAAATTGGAAGAGAAGTAAAACTGTCATTATTTGCAGATGATATGGTACCATACATAGAAAATCCTAAAGGGGCTACCAGAAAACTACTAGAGTTCATCAATGAATTCAGTAAAGCTGCAGGATACAAAATTAACACATAGAAATCTGTTGCATTTCTATACACTAATAACAAAATACCAGAAAGAGAAAATAAGGAAACAATTCCATTAACCATCACATCAAAAAGAATAAAATACCTGGGAGTAAACCTACCTAAGGAGGCAAAAGACCTGTACTCCAAAAACTGTAAGATGCTGAGGCATGATATCGAATATGACACAAACACATGGAAAGATATACCATGTTCTCTGATTGTCAAAATGACTATACTACCCAAGGCAATCTACAGTCTCAATGCAATCCCTATCAAAATACCAATGGCATGTTTTGCAGTTCTAGAACAACAAAAAAAATCTTAAAATCTGTATGGAAACACAAAGACCCTGGAGAGCCAAAGCAAGCTTGAGAAAGAAAAACAAAGCTGGAGGAATCAGCTCCCTGACTTCAGACTATATTATAAAGCTACAGTCATCAAAACAGTATGGTACTGGCACAAAGACAGACTTACAGATCAATGGAACAGGACAGAAAGCCCAGAAATAAACCCATGCACCTATGGTCAATTAATTTGTGACAACGGAGGCAAGACTATACAATAGAGGAAAAACAATCCCTTCAATAAATGGTGCTGTGAAAACTGGACAGCTATGTGTAAAAAAATGAAATTAGAACATTCTGTAAGACCATACACAAAAATAAGCTCAAAATAGATTAGACCTAAATGTGAGAGAGGACACTGTAAAACTCTTAAAAGAAAACATAGGTGGAACACTCTCTGACATAAATCAAAGCAATATCTTTTTTGATCTGTCTCCCAGAGTAATGGAAATAAAAACAAAAATAAACAAATGGGACCTAAATAAGCTCAAAAGCTTTTGCACAGCAAAGGACACCATAAACAAAACAAAAAGACAACCCATAGAATGGGAGCAAATATTTGCCAATGATGTGACCAACAGGGGATTAGTCTCCAAAATTTACAAACAGCTCGTGCGACTTAATATCATCAAAAGAAAACAACCCAATCAAAACATGGGCAGAAGACCTAAATAGACATTTCTCCAAAGACAACATACAGATGGCCAAGAGGCACATGAAAAGAAGTTCAACATCGCTAATTATTAGAGAAACGCAAATCAAAACTACAAAGAGACATCACCTCAAACCAGGCAAAATGGCTATGATCAAAAAAATCCACAAATAATAAATGCTGCTGCAGAGGGTGTGGAGAGAAGGGAACCCTCCTACACTGTTGGTGTCAATGTAAATTGGTGCAGCCACTATGGAGAACAGTATGGAGGTTCCTTAAAAAACTAAAAATAGAGCTACCATACGATCGTGCAATCCCACTTCTGGACATATCTCTGGAGAAAAACATGGTCCGAAAGGATACATGCACCCCAGTGTTCACTGTAGCACTATTTACAACAGCCAAGACATGGAAGCAACCTAAATGTCTATCAAAAGAGGAGTAGATAAAGAAGATGTGGTACATATATACAATGGAATATTACTCAGCCATTAAAAGGAATGAAATAATGCCATTTGCAGCAACATGGATGGACCTAGAGACTGTCATGCTGAGTGAAGTAAGTCAGACAGAGAAAGAGAAATATGATATTGCTTATATGCAGAATCTAAAAAGAAATGATACAAATGAACTTATTTATAAAACAGAAACACTCACAGACTTAGAGAATGAACTTATGGTTACCGGTGGGGAAGGGTCGGGGGAAGGGATAGTTAGGCAGTTGGGGATTGACATGTACACACTGCTATATTTAAAATGGATAACCAACAAGGACCTACTGTATAGCACAGGGAACTCTGCTCAATATTATGTAACAACATAAATGGGAAAATAATTTGAAAAAGAATAGGTACATGTATATGTGTGACTGAATCACTTTGCTGTACATCTGAAAGTAACACAACATTGTTCATCAACTATATTCCAATATAAAATTAAAAGTTTTAAAAAGAAAGAAAAAATACATGCAGCCCAATATTCACTGCAGCACTATTTACAATAGCAAAGACATGGAAGCAACCTAAATGTCCATCAACAGCGGAGTGGATAAAGAAGATGTGGTACACATATACAACGGAATATTCCTCAGCCATAATAAAGAATGAAATAATGCCATTTGCAGCAACATGGGTGGACCTAGGGATTATCATACTAAGTGAAGTAAGTCAGAGAGAGAAAGACAAATATCATATGATATTGCCTATGTGTGGAATCTGAAAAATGGTACATATGAACTTATTTACAAAACAGAAAGATTCAGAGATGTAGAAAACAAACTTATGGTTACCAAAGGTGAAAGGAGGTGGGGGAGGGATAAATTAAGTGTTTGGGATTAACATATACACACTACTGTATATAAAATAAATAACTAATAAGGACCTACTGTATAGCACAGGGAACTCTACTCAGTATTCTATAATAACCTATATGGGAAAAGAATCTAAAAAATAACAGATATATGTATATGTATAACTGATCCACTTTGCTGTACACCTGAAACTAACACAACATTGTAAATCAACTATACTGCAATTAAAAAATAAATAAATAAAAATAAAATAGGGGTGTTCTACTATCACTTGAGATTGACAATCCAACCTTCTATCCACTGCACTTTTACTTTTTTGGTATGGGAAGTAAATTGGCCTCATTGGGGGAAAAAAAGAAAAGTCTATTACAAAATGAGGGATAAAACCAATAGTTTTCCCCCACCCTATATATTCATAGACACACAAACTTTAGCTTAATTATCTTCCCATAACGAACAGGTTAATGTATTTATTGGAATATTTAATACCTCTGAAAAGTGCCCAACTGTAATAATAAATTTGTTAGAGTCATCAGCAATTTAATTCTGTATAATGTCTTCTAAAACATATGGCTACAAATTTAGTAACCCAATTCAGCCCCACATTTTAAGTAGATACATGTCCTAGCACAAAGTAGGAACCCAATAAACATTGAATAAATTAACGAATGATGCTGAAAAGTGTCCAAGAGAGGTGATTTGGGAAAACACAAATCATGTGCTTACTTACTCCATGTCCATTGCACTTTAGTGAACACTTATATGATCTGTCTGCAAGTATCCTTGATTCTACACATTCACGATTTACACAAATCTAAAGAGAAACACATACAAAATTTTTTTTTCTGAGTTAGAGGAGTACAGTTATTGTAACATTACCATCAGTAATTTTATAACATAAGACCACAGACATTCAATGCAGTAATTTCCATTAAGTACTGCTTTTGCTGTAACCCACAAATTTTTATATGTTGTATTTTCATTTTCATTTAATTAAAAATATTTTTCAATTTCTCTTGAGATTTCTCCTTTGGCATAAGTGTTATTTAGAAATGTGTAGTGTAAGCTACAAATATTTGGGGATTTTTCCAATAAGTCTTATGTAAACTATGGGCTTTGGGTGAGGATGATGTAATAGTGTAGGATTGTGGATAGTGTAGGTGTCTGCACTTCTGTGGGGTAAGTGGTTATGGGAACTCCCTGTACTTTCTGCAACTTTTGATGTGAACCTAAAACTTCCCTAAAAAATAAAGTCTATTTTTTAAAATAAATTTTAAAGAAATGATTCAGGCTTCTGGTATTCGGTTCCCCATTTAAGGAGTTTGGAAGTTGACACTCCATCCTAACAACAAGTAAAAAGTTGAACAGACTGAAGAAGCAACAACTCTTTTAGGATCCATAAAAGAAGTGATTTGGGGGCAAACCACTGCCCCCAAACTGGAGAGACAGACAAGCGAACACAGGGAGTCACAGCTTACCAGAGAAAAGATTCACAAGCGGAAACCTCCTCAGGTACCCGTGCCAGCGTCGGAAAACCTGAACTGTAATTGATGAATTGCTGGAGGCTCAATACAGACACCTCTGAGAGTTAGGAACTCCAGGAGAGCCCCACAATTTTGTGAGATGTACATCCAGGAGCTCAGCCAGGTTCTCACAGTAAATATTAGAGAAAAAATTTTCTTGTATTCTGGCAGGAGGAGGGGAAAAGGAACCATTTTGAAGTAGCCAGAGCACTCTGTTCTTAACAAGGCTTGCCCTCAGGAGAAACTAGTTAACTAGAGCCTAATCTGGTGATGTTTTATCAGAGCCTAACTGATCTGGGGGAAGGGAAATACCCAATTTCAGTCAGCTCTAACCTTCCGTGTGTAAGAAGAGAAATACCCAACTCCAGCCCACTCCAGCCATCCTGTCCCATCTAAGGGAGGAGAAAAAACATGAGAAACACTTGTGAAGTTCACAGTTCAGAGGCACAGGTTCACTGAAAGACTCAGACCTGTTCATAGGACTAAAGAACACTTCCCCTTCCCACAACACCTCACCACCACATTTCTAAAGATCTATTTACAGCAGTTCTTTTATCTGGTTCATCATGTCCAGCTCTCAAGAAAACAGATAAGGTTATATACTAAAAGCTAAAAAACACAATTGGAAAAATGGAGAAAGTATCAGAACCATACATGTCATGGATACTGAAATTATCAGACCAGGAGTTTAAAACAACTATGATTAATACGCTAAGGGCTCTCATAGATGAAGTAGACGGTATGCCAGAACAGATGGGACATGGAAGCAGAGAGACAGCAATCCTAAGAAAAAAATAAAAATAAATGCTGGAATGAAAAAAAAAAAAACACTGTAACAAAAATGAATAAATGCCTTTAATGGGCTCATTAGTACACTGGAAATAGCTGAGGGAAGAATCTCTGAGCTAGAGGATATATCAACAGAATCCTTGAAAATGAAAAAGCAAAAAGAACAAAGACAAAAAAATAACACAGAATATCCAAGGACTATGGGACAACTATAAAAGGTATAACATATATGTAATGGAAATGTCAGAAGAAAAAGAAAAAGTAACAGAAGAAATATTTGAAACAATAATGACTAAGGATTTCCCCCAAATTAATGTCAGACACCAAACCACAGTTCCAGGAATCTCAGAAAACAATAAGCAGGATAAATGCCAAACAAACAAACTAACTAACAAACCCCTACACTTAGGCATATTGTGTTCAAACAGAAAATCAAAGAATATATTCTGAAAAGAGCAAATTTTTTTTTTTAAACCGTACCTATAGAGGAACAAAGATAAGAATTACATCTGACTTCTCCTCAGAAACCAGGCAGTCAGAAGAGTGGAGTAAAATATTTAAAGTATTGACAGAAAAAAATCCCCAACTTAGAATATAGAATTCTATACACTGCAAAATTATCCTTCAAAAGTAAAAGAGAGATAAAGACTTTTTCAGACACACAAAAATGGAGGGAATTTTTCGCTAAGAGAGCTGTCTTGCAAGACATGTTAAAAGAAGTTCTTAAGAGAGAAGGAAAATAATATAGGTCAGAAACTAATAGGATGTACAATAGCTTTATGTAAACTATTTTCTTTGTGTAATAAGCATGTGTCAATGTAGGTTGATCAATTGTAACAACCATACCACACTGGTGGGTGATGTTAGTAACGGGGAAGACATGCCTGTGTGGGGCCAAGAGGGCGTGTAGGAAATCCCTCTAACATACTTTCCGTTTTATTGTGATTCTAAAATTGTCCTTTAAAAACAGTCCAAAAAAATGATTCAGGGCAGGGAAATGGGAAAAACAAATGAAACAAGACTGACATAAAAAAAATCAGAATCAAATAATCACTTTTAATTACAATAGCTTGAAATCTAACAAAGCCATCCCTAAGAGCACATTTTAAATAATATTCTGTATTACTGCACATATTGAAAGTTTGCATAGAAAGAAAATCAGTTCAATAATCAGGAGTTTCACTAAATATGCGCTATTATTCGAGTTCCTAAGAAAGATATTAGAAGTTTTCATTAAAATATACTACAGATATCTAACATTCTATTATGGAATGTATTAAACATCCAAATATTAATTCTTTTAAGTATAAAGTATAATAATCAGAGGATTAAGGATACATTCCCAACTCCCTTATTTCTAGCAATATCAACTTCCCTAAGTTGCAGTTTTCTTAAATGAGTACAATAATACTTTTTCTAAACTATTTGAGATTTGTTTCAAGGTTAAAATGAAATAATGTATGTGAAAATGATTTCCTTTCAAACATGAAATCACAACACTCTTCAGAGAAATGGCCTCACAAAACCCTTTCTAAACCCCAACACCCTAACCCTTTTAAGCCTTTAACGTGTTCAGTCTTCTCATTAGTTCTTGGCCTCCGTGGTGTGTCTAACAACTCCTTTTAGAATGTAGAGATTTTGAAGTAAATTTATTCCCTCTATTGTTTTCTCCAGATTTGGTTGGTTAGTCTCATAGATAACAAATTATAATAACAATAAATAATAATAGCCAACCTATATTTAGCTCTTACTATGTGCTGGGCATTGTGCTAAGCACTTTATACTATTATCTCATTTAATCTTTGCAATAACTCCATAGAGTAAATGTTATTATTATCCCCACTTTACATACAGTTGTGATATCTCAGACTGGTTAGGTAACTTTCAAAATGTCAAAAACTAAGAGGTGAAGACTGATTCTTAGCAGCCCCATCTAAGTTGTGCTCTTATCTACTGGGCCGCAAAGAGACATATATTACTAAGTGGGATTTCTTCTTTCTTCTCCAAGAAGAAAAGTGAATTTCCATGTTATGGAATATTTAACTACAAGTACAAGTATTCCCAAGATTTCTCTCTTCCCCACTCCAGCCCCAGAACACTTGGATTTTCCTTGCTCACAACACTGGAATTCTAATGGGGATCAAACAACTCTCATTTCCCTCAGAGACCAACTGAAGCTTATTCATTTTCTCCTTAACCAAATATTTAAGTTTACAAAGCACTAGTAATTAACTGCAATATTTATTAAAGGAATTAATAAAACTAGATTTTTAAAAATAGATTTTAAGTCATTTACCCTCCCAGTATCACAAATAGAGCCACTTTTGACCATCATTGGATCTTCTCCATCTGTCGTTGTGTAGTGCATAGTTATGCATACAGTATTTCGTACAAAAGCATAAATCACAGAAGCACCGTCTCGAAGGAAAGGAGTTTGAAAGGGGTAGGTGCAAATTAATCTGCCACATATAAGATTCCTGCAAACATAAGAAATTATATGATTATTATGCATTAGGCATTTATTAGGAATGCATCAGATTGCTTTCTTTGACAAAAAAGTAAAAATAAACAATGGTTCTCCATTTATGGCAATATATCTAAGGAAAATGTAACACTTTAATGCTAACATTTAAAGTAAAAAGTAAAGCCATTGATACAGGCTTAATAAGCCTGTAGCACAAGAAAGATGCCAAGGCTAGAGATTTTGATTTCAGATTTACTCCCATACACATGTGATACTTGAAACCACTGGAATGAATGACATATATAGAGAAAAACTAAAAAAAGAATCTTACAGAACACAAGAGAGATTATCTTTAATATTTGCATAACATACCTCCATGCACAAAATTTATATCTGCTTCTTTCTCTACCACAGTTCCCAAACCTATCAGTTTGAGACTGTATTTCTTCATAGCAGGCAAATGGAGCATTTTTTGAACCTGTCAAAGTTAGAAATATATTTGGATTAAAACTTCCTTTTTTTCCATCTTCCTCAATTTCCTCATATATTTATGTTTCTTATGCTGTTTTCTCTATTATTATCATCTATTCAAAAGTTTCCTAGTGACGTAAAAAAAAAGAAATGATTAAAGTGAAAAGTAATGCTCATGGTTATTTCTCCTTTTACTTCATTTTCAGTCATTTTCATCACAAAAGATATTATGAGGATAGGGGAGAGCTACAGAAGTGTAAACCTTGAGAGGGCTCTGTGAAAGAAGACAAGAGAGAGAAAACTATACTTGTTCTCCTAGATTCTGAGTAGGAATTTATAAAAAGCCAGGTGTATAAAAAAACCTCATTAAAGAAACCTCATATCTTCAGAAAGTCTGAAGTGAAGGGACCAAAATTGCCAAACTATAAATTTACCTATTTTTCCTTCATTCCTATATTAGTTTTTTTATCATTGTGTAAAAAATCACCAATATATTGACACCTTAAAACAAAACCCACGTCACAGTTTCTGTAAGTCAGGAGTCTGGCAAAGCACAAGCAGGTTTTCGGTTCAGGGTCTCACTAGGCTGAAATAAAGCTCTTGGCTGGGGTTACAGTCTCATTTGAGGCTGGAGTCCTCTTCCAATCTCACTCGTCGTTGGAAGAATTCATTTTTTTGCACCCATTGCTCCATTGTCTTACAATCTGCCAGGGGTTGCTCTTGGCCCCTCAGGTCCTACTCACACGGCCCTCTCACAACAGTGGCAGCTTATTTCTGCCAAGCCAGCAGGAGAAACTTCTGACATCTTCCATCTTCTAAAGGCTCACATTATTAGGTGAGGCCCCATTCAGAATGATCTCCCTTTTGATTAATACAAAGTTGACTAATTATGGACCTTAATTACATCTTTAAAATTCCTTCATATTTACTATATAATCTAATCATAGGAATGATATTCCATCATATATTCACTGGTTCTCCCCCAACTCAGAGAGGGGATTATCCAAGAAATGTACACCAGAAGAATATTGGGGGCCATCTTAGAATTCCACCTAGCACAGTTACCTTCTCCAAAATGAACCTTGCTAAGTCTAACTGCCCATCTATAAAATATAAAAGTAGGTAATAATACCTTCCTCAGTGGATTGTTATGAAACTTAATTAAGATGATGTTTATTTAGTCACTCTTTTTTTAATTAATTAATTAATTTACTTATTTTTGGTTGTGTTGGGTCTTCGTTGCTGTGCATGGGCTTTCTCTAGTTGCGGCGAGCGGGGGCTACTCTTCACTGCGGTGCGCGGACTTCTCATTGCAGTGGCTTCTCTTGTTGCAGAGCACGGGCTCTAGGCTCACAGGCTCAGCATGGGCTTAGTTGCTGAACAGCATGTGGGATCTTCCCGGACCAGGGCTCGAACCTGTGCCCCCTGCACTGGCAGGCGGATTTTCAACCACTGCGCCACCAGGGAAGTCCCATATTTAGTCACTCTTAATTCCCATCTAATCCTTCTCCATTTTCTTTTGAGATTAAGAAGGTTTCTCCTATTTACCAGCTCCTTCTATGATTTACATTTTCCCCACTATCCCCTTTAATTTTTTACCTTCTCCTAATTCTATCTCTTCCCACCATTTTTAAACATTGGTCCATCACAGGTGCTTGTATACATACCGTGAGGACAGGTAGTGGTATTTCTGAGTATTCACAATGTTTATTAGCTCAGTTGTGAATCTGAGAATACCAGGTTAGGAATGTTCTTCATCCAGGCCAATTTTTACTCATTCAAATAGTGCTTCTAAACGTACCAGTGAGCCCTGTATTTAATTTCTCCCTTGAAAACCCTCTCTCATTAGTGTTAGGGACTTTCTTTCAGCTCAGTCTGGGTTTTCCAAGGTGATATGATATTTCCATATCACCTTGGAAAAGGGCAACACTTTGAAAATGTGAAAAAGGGCAACACTTTGAAAATGTGAAATCACATGTCAAATATTTCCTTAAACCCAGTATACTGACCAAGTCTACAAAGTAAGAGAAATTTCCCTTCTATAGTCCAAATAGTGTATTTAGATTCCCTCTAACCTATTATCAAATGCTATGAGGTACCACAAAATAGTAGATGGACTTTCATAGATGTGCATGGCTGGTACTAGGTCAGTAAATGTGGGTGCTGGAAAACTACTGCAAGTAGTTTAGGCAAGACTCATAAATAGCACTGCAGAGTAGGGAGTTTGAGGTTTTACTCCCTTGACCACTACCAGAGATGACTAGTTTACGTTTCCAGTTACATGGACTAGAAGGCCACCCCATCTCAATTGTAATAAAGGGAGCCATTGAAACGTTAGCTAAAGTTTTATCTTTCATAACCTGACATCTTTCTCACCTCATCTCATGACTAATAGGCATTTGCAACTTAACATATCCTAAAACCAAATTCTGTTTTACACCCTAGGCTTCTTTATAGGACCATTAGTCAACCAATGTTCAGGCAAAAACTTAGGAAGAATTCTTGATTTCTTTTTTCCCCCCTCACTACCTGCCTCTACCATCTAATCCAAGTATTATGGACACTGACCCTAAATACAGCCTGAGCATGACCACTTCTCATCTTCTGCACAGCCACCACTCTAGCCTGTGCTATCATCAGTTCTCTTCTAATATGCTACCATAGCTTCTAAACGACTCCCCACTTCCACTCTCCATAGTACATTCTCCATATCGTAAGTCAGAGTGATCTTTTGAAAAAATAAAAATACATCAGCCTCTTACTTAAATATCTCTAGTGGTTTCCCGTTACATTAAGAATAAAATCCAATTTTCTTGCCATGGTCCTTACTCAGCCTGGTTCACTACCTTTCAGCCACACTGCCTTTCTTTTCATCCTTGAACTCACCAAATTCATTCCTAACTCAGAACCATAACATTTGCTGCATTCCTCTGCCCAAAATGCTCTTTCCTAAGATCATCTTCTGGCTTCTTCTTAATATTAAAGTTTCTACTCAAATTTCACTTCCTCACAGAAACCATCTCTGAACACCCTGTCTGAACAGCCTCACCTTCATCATCAGTCTTTTTCCTATCACTCTGTTTGCTGTTGCTTTGTTTGGGGGATTTTTTTGTTGTTGTTATCATACCATTCACCACTAATGGAAATGATTATATTTATTTATTTACTTATTTACTAATTTTTTATTGTTTATGCCTGAACCCTTCACTGGAATATAACCTCCATAAGAATAGGAATCTTTTTTTTTTGTCTTTCCCATCACTGGGTTTCCAGTCCTAGAAGAATGCCTCACCCAATTAAGGTGATAAATAAATATTTATTGAATGAATGAAAAAAATCAACACCTTGGGGAACATATTCCATGATCTGTCTTTCTTATGGAGTTTGACATCCAAAATCAAAACCTCCAATAGGAATTATACCTATTCTATTTGAAGCAATAGAGGTTTTTAAAGATTAACATTTGAAACAAACTCCTTAGTGATCTCTCCCAAATTATGTTTCCAATGTCACCTCACTAATTTCATTAGTTTCTGTTTTGTGGCCTTCTAAATATTTTTTATTGAAAGAGGCAATATCGATTCCACATTTTTCAAATAACTTGTAGATAGAACCAATTTAAAATTTCCACAAATTCATGATAAGAAGTAAGAGTTGAAATTTTTTCCTCATGGCTCCTAAAACAGTCCTAAGAGATATTTAAGATAAATAAGCATAAACTTACTTATACAATCTGAAGCCACTTGAGCTATATAATTCTTTTCCATCTCCAATAAACTATAGATTATTACTGTAACACTAGCTGAAATAATGGAGAAATAACTATTTTCAAAGAAGTCCAGGAAATTCATCACTAATTATGAGAATAACAAGAGACAGATTAAATGAAATATTTATTATATTGGCACTCAAGGAAGAAATGTAAGTGAAGCTTATCTCTCTATCTCTTGTTTTCATTTATGTTTACACTCCATCTTCATTCTTCTGTCTCATTGAGGCTCATCTTGTTCCACGTGGTCAAAAACATAGCTGCCCCAAACTCTGGAGCTTTATTTATGATAATTTTGAGTCCTTAGAGGGAAAACTCTCTTGTTTAACTGTCTAAAAGTCCCAGAAAAGAAACTCAGAACCTCCCCAACTCCCTTAGCATGACTTAGACAATTCACCTCAAAACCCACCAACTGTAGCAAGGTTGAAGAGTACTGCAGTTAGACTGGGTCTGGTTAGGTACCCGCTACTGTCCAACAAAGTATAAACAGGGGTATAAGACCAAACTATACTAATAACATATTTCCCACAGTAACCATGTGGATATTAAGCAGTTCCTAGAAAGTGGTACTAAGAGGAAAATCCTACCTGAGGCCTCTGCAGAAAAAGATGGATCTAGAAGCCTACTATGAAATCTTGCCTCTTAACATCAATAAAACAGTTTATGATACTCTGATCTATACTAACCTCTGCCTTCTCTACATAAACTTTGGTACTCCAGAAAAAACATGACTACTAGAAAGCATAAACTGTTACCATAACCTCAACTTTGGCTAACTGTGGGCAATTGGGGGGCAATTGTCCCCCAATATCCATTCCTTCTTTCTTCCATTCAGTAATAGAACTTTCTTGTTAGCAGGGCACACAGACACCAAGCTAAAGAAAACATTTTTCAGACTCCCTTGCAACTAGATATGGTATGTGACTAGGTTCTGGTCAGTGGATTATGAGTAGAAATTATATGCAAAACATCCAGTTAATGGCATTAAGTGCAAGCTGGTTACACTTCCATTTCTTCTTTTCTCCATTCCATGGGCTAGTATAAATGTTTTGTGCTGGAAAACTACCTTCTACCAGCGACACAAGGGATGACGGAGCAAAAAGAAAGACGACAGGTTCCTGAAAAATGTCATAGAGCAAAGCTGCTGAATCATCCTTGGTGAATTGCCTATCTCTGGAATACTATATGAGAGAGAAAATACAGTCTATCTCTTTTGAACCATTGTATTTTTAGGTATC